CTAACATTAGCTTCACTGTTAATTGCAAAAAAGTGAGGCTTTGAGTTCATTTTTATAAATTTTTTGACTTCAAGTTGATGAAGACGTCTTTGATGACGGAGATGGATGCATATGAAGTCAAAATTCTACACTAGAAGAGAACAGCTATTAGCCGAAAGATGCCTTGCTGACATTACTAGCCGTAACTAGAAAGAAAACGGCACTGAGGTGGGATTTCTTGAAATGTAACCAATCACAGGCAGTTTACTTTTTGAAGTTGCTCCACCCTTAAAGTGACAAAAGTTTGGAATTTCTTGCTCATTTATTTATCTCAAAAGCAAACTAGCTAGACTTGCATATAATGCTGAAAAATATTTTTTTGCTTTCTGAAACTATACATAAAACCTATTTTAATGGCTGTAGAAAATATATTTACTTTCAAAGCTGGTTTTATAGCTTCAAAGTTCTTGAATAGACATTAAAATTGGCAAAAAAAATCCCATCAACAGGACAAGCTCTGCAAACTGTGGAGAATGGAAACTGGATACAAAATTCTAGACAAGGAGGCTTTTTCTCTCAAAAGAAAAAAAAAAAAAAACACCTTTTAATTGACCTCCTGCAGGCCAAAAACACACACAAGGACACAGGCTAATGTTAACAAGATCTATCAAAAAAAAGGCAAACCCATATAGTCAAGGCAAGCTCACAAACATACACACGCTAACACGCCAAAACCATCACTTGTCATTGGCCCAGCTGCTCCCTCTTCAAAGTTCTTGGCTTCTGGGTGGCCATAGAGATGAGAGGAGAAAAAAGAGACGTTCTTAAGAGCAGCAGCAGCCTGAGCCAAATGACACCAAATATCATCCATGAATATTCCTCAGACCAAGGCTCTGTTTGAGGAGAAGTCCTGGACACTCAGCCAAGGTAATACAAAAGAAAAATGAGCCACAGGAATGAAGGGGCCTTAGAACGGCAGAGTTGTGTGTCGCCGTCTCTGGAAGAATGTTTAAGAACAAGGCAGAAAGATACTAAAGCTCCAGGAGGGAACCAAATAATCCCCAACGCAGGTTGGAGGTGGTACATTAGTATTAAGTGTTAGGTCGTTAAAACTGGCCAAAAATCTAGTACTTATACTTGGTAACATCTGGTTTTTAGCACACAGATTTGGGGCTGGTTTAGGGTGTTTTATTTGCTTCTGAGTCAAATCATTTGCAATTGTTTGTGGTATTTAGTTGTTCCAGCCCCAATCAGTGGTGACGGGAACTCATCATCTAGCTGCACTTGCCAGCAACAGGGCCGCATTGATGAAACAAGCTTGATTTTGGCCGACTCTTTTGGAAGTGTATGGTGTTTACCTATTGCCATTCACCAGATTAAAATGATTGGGCTCATCAACAGGGTCCTGCATCACTTGAAGGTATATTGATGAGGTAATTTCAAAAGATATGCTGTGGCAAGAAAACCTATACATGGCAGTCAGTTGGACATCAGGCCTAGGGCTAGTTACCAGCTATGCAAAGGAAATCTGCTCAAAAAACTAACTGGATCACTTAAAAGAAAAAAAAGTTTTTAATGCTTATTTGGGCATCAGGTAAATAACAATTTGTGGAGATTAAACACCAGAAGCAAAAATTTGGGTAAAAGCACAAGGCGGGGCCATATCCAAAAATATGCAGTGAGCAGCTGTGCGGACAAAAAAAAGTCCTGTTGATATTAAACGGTTAAAAGAAAAATGTGCAGATAAGTAAAGGACAATGGAAGTACAACAAATTGCTACAACCACAAAGAAAACCTTGAAGCAGGGGTCTAAGAGTAAGTCCCATTTACACTACTCTTTTGAAACCATGCTGAGATCGGTCCAAGCATCCAAGCACTGTAACATAGATAACTGTTGAGTGTAAATGGCAGGCACAACTGAACCGGACTGTGCCAGACACAACCAAACAGTGGCGGCCGGCCCATAGGGGGCGCTGGGGCACCGCCCTCCCTGATAAGAAGAGAGAAACGTTAAAAATATATTTTTAGAAATTAGCTCATAAATGTCAGTTTTACTCTCTAGAGTGTTTACATATAAGCAAAACATATTATATAAACTACATTTCCCTATCTACTGTCATTAATTTGTGGATTTCCACAGACAGACTCCTACCGTCTCTGTTCTGGGGGCGCTGATCAGACAGACCCACATTTCCAGAGAGTCTGTCAATCATGTACTATTGCTAGGTGAATTTAATGGCCAATCAGCGTCTCAGAACTTTATGGTCTTGGGGCGCTGAAAATACTGCACTTTAACAGGCTTCTGAACCCAAGCGCAGGTGCAGACAATTAAAGGGAAGATGGCGAACGTAACGAACTTCCACCAAATTCGGTGAGATCCTTATTTATCTACCCGTTTGCCAGAAGAACATCCCTGTTGTAGGATATGAAAATTTCATGTCATGGTTATTGTGACTGTGACGAATCCACATCCTCTAACTTTGCGCGCCACACACACATTCCTGTTATACTGTGTTTGTGAGGACCAATCCGCTCGCGCTGAGCCAAGTAGCTCCATGAACTTAAAACACACAAGCTGTCCTGGTTACCTGCTGGCATATTGAGGGTGCACACTTAATATTTCAGTGGAGTTAGCCGTGTGTGTGTGTGTGTGGGGGGGGGGGGGGGGGGGGTACGTGTTTATGCTATGGGGACTTGTCATCTTCAGTCTGGCTGCGTCTTTGCTGGGTTCAAACCCAGTTTGGTGTAATTGAACAAGTCAATCAATCTGTGTAAAATAATTAAGTTGTAAAAATTATTTGTTTTTGTACATCAATTGTTTGTGGAGGTAATATATGGACAAACCTGATTAATGAGAAGAAATCAGAAATAAGAGAGCCTGAGGGTAGGGGCTTAAACTATTTAATGAGGGCTGTGGGAAGAAAAGCGGCAGCTTTTGTTTTCTGTTTCTTTGTTACATTGCTGGTAACTGGAGGGAGGCTGAGGCCCAGAGTATCTTGTACATGTTTAGTTTCTTTTGCACCCTGTTTGAGTTTTTGAGCACAATAAATCACCAACACCGGTAACCCGACTGAGCCTGGATTCTTGGAGGCCAAAGAACCCCGTCACAGTGACCCAAATCATCACTGTTACTGTTATTATATAGTAAATTAAATCATTACTGTTAAATTGTATGTATTGTCCAATTGTTTATTTGAATTCTTATTCCGGATTAGTTGGAGACATACACTAGCCCCACCAAAAATATTTTTCACCAGCCGCCACTGCAACCAAACTGCGCTTAAACCAGTACTAGTTCATCAGTAGGGCTTGGAGCGGTTCAGTTCTGGCTCGGCTCTCAGATAGCAACGAGCCCATGAGCAGACCATGAAATTTCAGACATTCACAAAAATACTAGCTTTCCTACCATCCCACACAATTTCCAGTGATGATTTTGCTTAGCAGTGTAAAGCCGGGCATACACTGTGCGATTTTCGGTGAGATTTTCTAGTCGTGCAAGAATCTTTCGATTGGGCCGACTTTCAGCCTGATCGTGTGTCGTGAGTCGTGTAGTGTACGAGGGGCGATCAGCCTCTCACAACCACCTCCCGATCAGGAATCGTGAGGTCGGGAGAAAATCAAACATGTTTTTAATCTTCTCCCGACCGTCGTGGGCAAATTGCTCAGGGCGCATGCGCATAGAAGGATTCTTCAATGAGTGAAATGGAGTTCTGTCTGTAAAATTTATAGACCGTAGTAGTCACGTTTGCTCAGCCATGTCTTTTTTCCAAATATGTCATTGCCTTTTCATTGTAGGATTTTCAGCACAAAATTGCACAAATTGCCAAGGCAGAGCAGTTCACTCTAGTGAGCTTAATATCCCCCCTCTATTTGTTTGGCTTCAAGATAGAGAGCTACAGAGCAGCTCCATCTTACTGTGGAGCTGAGTGCGACGTGGTTTTTAGTTGCACAGTGTGAGCAGGCAGATGGCATGAGAGTGTCTGGTCGAAAATAAATCGTGAGCTGTGAGCTCACACTGTACGACTAAACCGCAGGGTTTAGTCTTACAGTGGGTCGTACAGTGCGAGCAGTAGCTTTGTGCAACGATTGAAAAAAATCGCACAGTGTATGCCCGGCTTGATGAACCTGAACGTCCGTAATTGTTTCCAGCGTTTTTAAGCACTGATTAGCCTATTGTTTGTCATATCCAATTCCCAAAAGCAGACTCTGTCAAGTAAATTCATCAAAGACTGCCTTTTTCGCCTGACTCTCCGCAAACAGCAAAATATCACAATGATGACAAAACATAACTTCCTGAATGTTAGGGGTGCCGCCATGTTGGTTTGCGTGTATACCTCTAGAGAAGTATCGTAGATCATCACTAGGAGGCGAGGAACCGTGCTTGTGTGGTGCGTAAATGGTCGTAAGGAACCAAGCTCAGCAGGGTTAACTGATCAAAGCTCGGCCCGAACTTAGCGCGGTTCAGTTTTCAGAGGGTGGCGTAAATGGGGTAGTAGTAGACGATAACGTAGGGCTCTCACTGCTGTCCAGTGAGAGGAGAATCCTGGGACAACAATGTGCTCAATGAAACCAAACAACAACAAATTACAAAACTAATCCTGGGCTGATGGCTCTCGTATCCAAAGTTGCTTTTTTTTTTTATAGGTGGTGCTGGTATATAGGTTTGTTAAAAATGTTTCTTGGTACATTTTTTTGTCCTTAGTCACAAATTTAAATGCCACAGCCTAACTAAGTAATGACGCTATTGGATCACATGACCATTTTCTGATGGCTTGCAAAGCTTAGATCATCTCCATCAAGCTCCCTGAAGATGACAATGAGTTCTCTCTCCTTCAGTAGAGGAGCTTTGTGATGTATTTGGAATACACCAATAAGAACTCAGCAATATAGATGGTGAGATCAGATGTATGTACAACCAGTTTAAAGGGAAGGAATTTGGTATTACATAAGAGATAACAACTTCCTGACTCATTAGTGACAAGATTGGGTGCATCTTACATTCATCAGCGCATCCCCCTCACCTTGTTGCTGTTGTTTAGGTTCATGCTGCTGAGTGCGGACAGTTTGGCCTCCAGACTCTGGTGGCCCGGCTGCTGCTGCTGATGGTGGAGCTGTTCCCTCTGGATCTGCTCCCTCATGCTCCTGGCCTCCTGGATGGCTTTCATCACCGCGTCTTGGTCCCCAAACAATGCTGTGGAGTTAAGGCTGGACAGGATGTCTGCACAAGACGAAGCAGAAAAAAAATAGGGTTTAGAGTGAGAATTGCAGCCTACTTTTGTTCTTGTTTTACAAAAGAAGAGCTTGGATGTAAGATGACTGATTGAAAGTAAGTTTTCCTGCAATTCTCCCATAATTTGTAATCTGTGACCGGCAAAACAATTTAATTTTGGTTTTAATTAAGATTTACCAGGGAGTCTGATACGATCTGATTTTGGCTCTTCTATCATCTCCATATGTTTGTTTTTTGTTGCTCAAAACATAAAGAGACCCTCCCCTCCCTCCTTGTTGTTTGTGTGCCACACTTTTGAAGCTGATGTGCACTTGAGGAATTGAAAGAAATAAAAAGGATGCAAAGTTTCCGTTGCCCTCCCCGTTTAATTAGCAGACTTGTAGGAAGCGCTGTACGCTTGGGTGGCCGTTAAAAAACGGGCAGAAAATAACTGCAGAGAACACAAGTGTCGCGTCCTCAAAGCCACTATAGAGAAGCTGGTGAAATTGTTTTGTGAGGGGTGGGGGGGTGGGGGTTATAATGAGAGGCTTTAGATTGGTCTTAATAACAGATAGCAGAGGTAGGGGTATAAAAGGTCTAGCGCGGGCAGACAATAATGCGAGGAAGCTCTTAAAAAGCAAATAACGTGTGCTGGGTTTCACTGTTTCCGCTGCCAGGGTTTTCATTGGGGCTAAATACAGGGCTTTGGACTCCTGTAAAACACAAACAGTCAGTCACATTTCACACACACACAAACACGTACACACAGAGGTCTCCCAGTGGGGTTGAGGTGTCTGCAGTCGTTCAGGCGCATGCAACGTAGCACAGCGTGTCTGTGGGTGGCAGGGAAGAGTCAAGTGTCTAGCTGTGTGATGTGTTTTTTCTGTTGTTGTTTTTCCGGTTAAAGGGACGACAACATTTTTACACAGAGTGAGGATGTGCATGTTGGAAGGGGGCGGATGTAAAGTATAGATGTGAGGAAGTGTGTTTACACACTGTTGTTCTTTTCTTGGCTCAGGGAAGCGTAATTTAGAGAACCAACATGCAAGGGATGCCGGTGGAAGTTAAACAGGTTCATCCGACATGGAGTCAAGGAAGACATTGGTGTAATGTTTTTGCCACATACCCAGGGAGGTGTTTCTGCCCATGCTTGGGATGGGGATGGGGCTGGGGATGCGACCCTTGCCCATGTTGCTCGGGCTGCTCTTGTTTCCAGGTAGCAGGCTCTGTGTTGGTGATGATGGAGAGCGATAAGGCTCGGCTGTCTTAGGTCTGGCTGAGAGGTTGAGTGGCTGTGTGGATCCCTCTTCCTGTTGACGAAACGCATGCAGCTATTGTCTGTATCTGTTCGGTCAGAGTTCAATCCACTACAACAATGCTGCAAAAAGGTAGAAATTGTGACAGCTTCTTCAAGGGAACATAATCAATAAACCAGTGCAACTCAAGAACTTCTTGTCTTACAAGACCCATCATTTCCAGTTTGATATGATAGAGGTTTAAAACCAATAAGAAACCTCTATAGATCAGGAGCATTTAATAGCATTGCAAATTTATCTTCCAGATATAGTTTAGCTGGTACTCATCTATTTTGTTATTTACAAGTTGGAATTTTCATCTCTAAATGTTTCCCAAATTTTCCTTCTATACCACTTGAACAGCCCTGGGGAAAAAAATTATTGCGTATAATCTAATTCAGAAAGCTACGATTTCAATGATTTATAGTTTTATTTTAAATTCAAGGATTTATTCTAATGTCAAACTTAGAAATGCATGGGATAAAGAGTAGGGAATCCAGTTGACACAAGATATTTGGGATGATGCCATTAACAGAATTCAATCTTCCTAATCCTGTGCTCGTCTTAGTTTGATCCAGTTTAAAGTTGTCCATAGGATTCATTTGTCTAATTTAGGCTTTCTCAGCTTTACCCAGATGTTGTTGATATATGTGACAGATGCAAAGTCTTTTTTTTTGTCCCATTTTCTTTCTTTTTGGGATTTTTTTAAAAAGGGCTGAAACTGCTGGATTGTATTTTTTCATTTGTGAATTTTTACTTTGGAGCGATGCTTTGTCAGTATTGTACTGACTGTATAGATTTGTGTGTGATCAGAGCAAGATGCGCATCGTTTATGTACACTGCTATATGAATATATTTTTTTATATGTAGGCTTGCATGTACAGTATATATATATATATATATATATATATATATATATATATATATATATATATATATATATATATATATATATATATATCTTTTTTTTTTTATTCCCTCTTTCAGCTCCAATAAAATTAATAAAAAAAAGAAAAGCTACTTCAAACTTAGAAGATGTAAAACTTTAACCTAGTAACCAGCACCAAAATGGCCTGAAGAAGCATACATTAAATAGGCTGCTGTTCTTAAACCCTTGGGAAGGTCTAGTCTGCCATTTACATCGATTGTAACAATGGACAGTAGCCTTGTTTTGGCATTAGTAGGCTGCAAATATGGAAGCCCCACATACTTTGTAACATTTTACTTAAGATAAAGTTCACTTTGAACTTTATCTTAAAGTTTCTTTAACTTTCCAAATATGGTGATATTTTGAAATGAACGCCTGTAAAAGACATGCAATTTACTAAAGATGGCCGTATTAACAAAGAGCGCATCAGACTATCCATTGCCATGGTCAGGTCAACTGGCAAGAGGCAAGGTACAGCCTAAATGGCAATTCCGTAAAAGTTTAAAAACAATCCACTGGACTTGGTTTCCAAGGTTTGATGACGTTTCGCTTCCCCTCCAGGAAGCTTTCTCAATTCAAATGAGAAATGTCTGGATCAGCAGTGAGTTTGAGGCTTTATACAGGCAAGGCCTTGTATTGCTTGGAAACATGCTGTTAAGGACTGGTGGAATAGGGCTTCATGATTTTTAGCCTGTCAGCATTTGGTGCCTTGAAACTCGGCCCAAGAGGCTAAACCCCACTTAATGTGTTAAATACACATTTATAATAGGTGGAATATATGGCCAATGGTTGCCACACTTCAAACAGGCATAAATATAGCCCCCTGATGTTAGTTATCACGATGTACGTTTTGAATATATCATGCACCCCCAGCATGGTTCACACATTTGTTGTGAATTTTCAACACTTTTAGTCAGATTATCATACATTGTGAAGTGCACCTAAAGAAAATGATGTTGTTTGAGCTAGGGCTGTAAATAATAATCGTTTTGTATCGATGCATCGATCCAACAGCCGACGATCCGATGCATCAATACGTCCGCAAGAGTATCGATTCATGTTTTTTTTTTTTCCTCCGGTCTATATTCAGCCATTTGCTCCTGGACGTAATTCTCCTCCCGTGCTGCCAAACTTCACGAGTTGTTTTCCGCAATTTCGGTCATACAAAACAAAACAAGCCGGCCTCCTGTCTGCGGCAATGTCTGCCGTCAGCTACAATTTGGGAGAGGTGCAGCGGAGTGTCTGTGAAGGGGGCGGGGACGTCTGGAGCCGAGGTATTTCATTGCACTCATTGCACTGATTTTGTGCAGTATTTTTTGATGCAAGGCCTTGCAGAATCTATAACGCAGGGGTATTATTATTTTTCAGTGAATGAGGTTTTAATAGGAATAGGTGGAGTGCAACTTTTCTACTTCTGTTATTTTCTGTAGTTTCTCAAAAAAAAAGCTTAACAATATTATAGCTTTCATTGATTTATTTCAAATTTGAAACATTGTCTAGCCTGTAAGGTGTTAAAAAAAAAGAAAAAAAAAAGAAAAGAACCAATTAATCGAATCGAATCGAATCGAATCGAATCGTGGTGTATTCTTGAGTATTGAAAATAATCGAATCGTTGGGTCAGGAAATTGATACTGAATCGAATCGCCATGATAGATGTGATTTACACCCCTAGTTTGAGCAAAACTGACATTAATCTCAGTAACTGAGCATTTTGAGAAAATTGAAAAATAGTAAGAACCTAAATGTAATGCATAGAGGATCTGTTATACTTTTCTTCACAGCTTGTTGGAACTTGTCAGATCGTTGTTCAGAATTCCTCTCACGCATCAACTGATCATTCACAAATAGGACAAGGATGTTAGTGTGTGCATATATGTTCAATTTCATGGTCTAACCTTCTGCTTTTAGATCCTTCCTTTTCTTTTTGTTCACATCTCTGTTTAAGATGAAATATAACGTGGCGTTATGACTGTTAAGTTTTCAAACGGTGCTTTATTTAATGAGGGATAAACTGTCAACCTATGGGAAGGTGAGAAAGTAAGTGCCCCATAAATAACTGGTTCTGCCACACTTGGCTGTAATACCTGTCATCAGCTGTTTGTGAAAACTGGCACTGTATAAATTCAGCAGAGTTGTTGGACCTACTGGTGAGCTCTCCATCATTTCCTCCCACATTATAAACTGAAGAATGCAGATCTTTTCTTAGCTATTTACTTGGAAAGATGTCTCTCCGTTGTTTTCTCATTCCACTAAAATTTTTGTAAAGCGGTCAGTGGATTATTTAGATATCCCTAATTAAATGTGAGATGGACTTTTGTTTGCTTTGGTCAGCAGTTGTTCTCCTCTTTGATCCGCCACATTAAAAAAGAGACATTAGAAAAGAGACAAAAGATTATCTCTTTTTAAACAATTAATCTTGAACAATTTAGTAAATAAGGCCAGTGCTTTTTATGTTGGTCTCTTTGTGACCTCCTGGAAGAGTCATAGATGCACTTTTAGAGTAATTTTGCTGGTCTGCCACTTCTGGGAAGGTAATTTATTGTTCTGTGATATCCCCATTTGTGAATGATGGCTCCCACTGTGGTCTGTTAGGGCCCCAAAACTTTAGACATGGCAGAGAATTAGGACCCTTCCCACAATGACAGATGTCAATAACTTTATTTCTCTTCTGTTAATGAAATTCTTAAGGTAAGTGCATAATTTTTTGCTTGTTGATATCTTTCAGGCTAATGTTATCATTTCAGATGGATTCTAATTAAATAATTTCTTAATTCCACATGTCAGATAGACATCAGAATTGGATGTGACAGAGCAGCTGAACCAAGAAACTAAAAACAGTTACTTCAAGATTCTAAAAATACTCTGTTTAATCTTAGGAACATGAATTCAATTATTTAAATATTTGCAAACAGCAAAAAACAGAAGAAATGTGACAGATACTTATTTAAGAAACTTCTATGGAAGTATGATTAAAATATTGAGGTTAATTCTTTTATGAAGTCAGAATTACACTCTAAAGAGAACAGCCTGAAATTGCTTTGCTAATGTTACTAGCGGCAACCGGGAGAAAAAATAGCGCTGTCACAAGAGGTGGGATTTCCTTAAAAGTAACCAATCGCAACCAGTTTGCTTTCTCTGGTTGGTTCCACCTGCAAAGTGACAAAAAAGCCATAGATACATGTCCACAGGCTAGTAGGAGAGAATCTACAGGAGCATGAAAGAAGCATGGACAGAATGCCTGTATTTTGGATATAGTTTTAAATGAAACTACTATTTTTTGTATCAACCATCTGCACTTTTTTAGTAACAGCTTTCATTGAAAACAAAAACAACAACAATCATGCACTGGATTAGAGTCTGGTTGTAGATTTTTGTTTTGGCTACAAATAAATCATGATTTAGATGTGAGTCAAGGCGAAGAGTTTCAGATAAGACTTGTTATGAAGAAAATGCCAAAATGACGCACCAAGGAGTACGCGCAGAGTAAAGGTTAGTAGAGGGTGGGGCACTGCTGCTTTAGTACGCCGAACTCTGACGCCGGCCTATTGTGACGCCGGCTGCAGCTGTGCCCCACGCACACATATGGTTTCCATTACTGCCTGGTTGTTGAGTAAAGATGAGGCGCACGCTCTCTCCAGTGAAGAGGTCTGGGCTTCTGCCAAACAGCAGCCAGCGCCAATCTCAGTGTGTGTGTGTGTGTGTGTGTTGGGGGGGGGGGGGTGCGTGTGTGTGTGAGTGTGCGACTTTTAAATAAGCTGCTACTAATTGACGGTGAAGAGCACTGAGCCGTGCACAGATCATCGTTTTAATATCTTCCAAATTTCCAGCCCCTCACTTTAACTTTGCACTAATCATCCGTATTAAGTGTTTTCCCATAACACAGATTCTGAACTCACTCTTTCCTTTGTGTTATTATGTTGTCTGTTGCACACATAAAGACGCCGTTTTACTTCACACTTATTAATTACAGGGAACCAGCATGAACTACTGACTCAGTAAGCTTATTTTTTTAACCCTCTCCTAATAATCAGATATGATTCTGCTGAGCCCTGGTTTATACGCGTAGGTCCCTAAATGTTAACGCTTTCAGATTTTCACGTACCTTAATCTGAGTGACGGGGCTGGATACTTGTTTCTCACTCTTGAGGTTGGGTGGTGAAAGAGGACCGGAGGAGTTAGGAGCTTGTTGGAGGGGAGCCATCTTGGCTCCTGGTGAGATCTGCATGCTTGCCAGCTGTGCGGCATACAGCTGCTGCAAAAGAGGAAAAACCAGAAAAACCAACAGCCTATTAACATTGTTCCCCAGCAGCTCGTCAGTGGCTTTTTTCTTTTATCTTTTCTTCTTCCACACACATACACACCCTTACTTATTTTATTTGAAGCATCAATTTTGTTCTCCCTGGAGTTTCCTTGGACACACGTGAACAGCTTACCTTTCAAATGCCTTGAAAAGCACTTATATCTAGTGACCACAATCGTCTATCAAACCTATTGTTTGTATTTTTTGATACCTCAAGTAGTTCATACTTGAATATATAAAGGTATATTTCTTCACTTCTGCTTTCATTTAGATTGGAGAAGTAGTATTTAGCAAAAAAAAAAAAAAAACAGGGCAAACTGAATAATAGAAAAAGAAAAATGCTTAGAACACATGAGCCTTTGGTTTGGATAAAAACACCAAACTAATTACAAAAAAAGACGGAGAAGAAAGAAAGAAAAACAGAGCTAACTTTCCATCCAAAGTACTTAGTAAAAATCAAAGAGCCAAATACTCGGCCCACCGTCCAGGGTCTTCTAAATCAAAGCTTGCTGGCCAGACAAACCGCTGCCCGAAACCACTGTCAACTCCTGTCTGAACGTATTGGAGTGCGAGTGCTGGAGAATCAAAGAGCCTCTCCTCAGGAAAACCACCCAGACATGGCTGGCCTTCAGTAGATTCTCTCACTTCTTTCTCTTCTGCTTTTCTCTCCCTCTACATTACTCTCACCTCATCTATACTCTCCCCTTCCCTCAAAAGTTCTGTTATAAATTCACCCCTGCTTTCTTTTGATCTCCCTTTTCCTCTCTCCACTTGTGTTCTGACACTCGGTTTGGTTCCAGAAATCATTTTTCATATCGTTTTCCCTAGATCTCCATCACCGTTTTATTTTCTGTGTTTTCACTGTCTGCCCCTCTAACCCCAACTGGCCCCCAGTGTTGTGAGATCTGATTTCCCTGCAGTCCAAACTGCGAGGCCTCCCGGGAGCGCAGATCCAAGAGCAAAGAAATACTCATGAACAAAGAGGGAGAGCAAGGCTGGAGGTTTTTTTTTTTTTTACAAAGGAGACACACAAGACCACCGTCACTTTGCCGCCAAAGCGCCAAGCTCAGCAGTCAGAGCAATAGAAGCTGGCTGGCTGCCTTTCCACTTTTCTCTGAGCGATATTAAACACAAACAGAAGGGGCCTCACTGCTGAAACAAAGCCCTGATGTCACGCTGCTTATTTTCTTTGGAAGCTACCAGGAGCACGTGGGCCAGCGGCTGGCAATGTGAGATCAATTTTAAAATGTGCCTCGAATGGCTGGTTGTAAGGCCTCACGTGTCAATCAAGCCAACCGCAGAGTTACTTACGGCGGTGCCTGGTATTCTTTCTGTAGAGGGAGCGGAGGCTCAGTGCAGACACCTGAATCTTTCTCAAATCCACAAGCTCGGCGTATTTTGTGCAAGTCAAACCTATGCCGTTGTGCTTGCAGCAATGATTCTGTCAACAATAAAAGGACACAAGTCTTGAACAAACAACAGCCTCACCATAAAAGCTTTTCTTGCTTTTTTTTTCCTTCAAAACATTCAGCAATTGATTGTTGAGTGGCTAATTTGCAGCATAAACAACCCAAACTAAAGCTATTGCTGCACAATCAACCCCCAAGGGAAAACAATGAAGCCATTTCCTAAATTACAAATTGACAAAGAAGGCCTTAAACTGCAATTTGCACTACCTGACAAGAAGTGCTTATTTCACTAAAATGTCTCATTGTTGATCATCTTGGATTATCTGTTCTTGTTCTGCTTACCTTGATGCAAAGGCATACAGTAGTATTAGTCCTCCAGCAGCTTTCTCTGCCCTGTTAGAACTGAAGGGATGATCCCTTTAACTGGCCTCTCTTTAATGTCAAGCCGCCATCGATCTCCAGAGTACAAAAAACAAATGAGTTTTGGCGTTTTTAGCAGGTTTGTAGAAAGGAAATCAGGAGGGTGTAACAAATAAATTGTAAGAGGAGAAAGGTTAAATATCGCAGTGCGAAGGCTGACTGTAACCACCAATAATACAGCTGGATCGACGGCCATGCCAGTTCACATGACAACCTAAAACAACGTCAACGCTGAAGGATAAGACAAGACTTTCAGACCAGATCAGTGTGTGAGATCAGAAAGCAGTGAGGACTCCAGGGGGGATAAAAATGTCTTCCCCACCTTTTCTGCTGGAACAGAAAATTGACTGGAAACAGAGACAGAGGGAGATGTCATATGATTTCAACAAGTATGTCTGCTAAGCAACTGTATTTCCCTCGCATTAGGCTTGCACAAAGAGGGCCTTTCTTCGGCAGAAATCCACTGTTTGTGAAGGGGTCTGCTTTGAGGCTCTAGAAACAATTGGCCAGAACAAGTTCCCACGGCAGCAGCACACGATTTAGTCGTTCAGAGTTGTTGTTTTTAGGTCGTGGCGGGTCAACCTTTGCATCTGCAGCGATCCTATTATTTAAGCTGATAAATCCAAAGATCATACATTGTATATAAAACCTCTTTATTCTTACCAGAATAAAGAAAAGAAAAACTGTCTCTAGACTGGTTCATGTTTAATTCCTTGACGTGGCGTTACATAAACAGTCACTGTTGCAGTCTGGGCAGAATGAGTCAGTATATTCTCATTTCTTTAATGTGCTGTACTAACAACTCTGTGTTAATGATCAACTGGAATCCATTTACTTCCTGTTTAATTACCATTTAAATACTGTTTAACTATTTGGGAGTTCATACATTTTGCTGTGTAACATACATGGTTCTGTTTAAGAGTCAGTTTACCACTAAACTAGCTGCACAATTACGCAGAAAGGACACCTTTCCACTGAAACCAGGGTATCTTACACATTAACTATCTTACCTGTACCTCACACTTATATGAGAGATATTAATTTATTGATTTAAGTGACCGGTGGAGGGGCTGTGATAAAAATGTCCTATATTTATTTATTTAAATCATTTTAATTCGGTTATATCATTGTTGGAAATTCAAGAGTTTATATTTTATTATCGTGTAATAGATTTTAATCAATTAGATCCATTTATGGTGAAAGGGGAAATGATATTTTGGACCTGCTGTGAATCACTTCCCAAATGCTCCTTTTCTTCATAACTCATAGTCTTAGCTAGTTTGATTTGCAAATTTGAAGTTTAATTAAAGGTAAATTTCAATATAATTTCAGAATGTGCATCAGTGTAAAATGATCACGTCTTTATGGCTAAAATATCAGCTATGGCAGTAAAGATTGTCTTGTATTTCATTACCCAAGAACCTATTATTTAGCAGCTCTGCACCAGCCACAGTAAGTAACGAGATCTTGTGAGGTTTTCCAGAGCTCTAATCTTCTAAACATCGCAATATATGACCTTTGGTTATGTTTTTGGGGGGATATAATTGGACAAATCGTGTTGTAACACATGTATCGTGACACAAAATGAAGAATTCTTGCCAATTCATATCCATAATTGTTAGTTATTAGCACCACAGGGGTTAGCTTTTCAACTTGTCACTAGAACATTATGTTTGGTGTGATTTAATTTCAATATTCTTCTGAAACAATGTAAATAAAACACATAATTGGGTGGGAAAATGCAACATGTGAAAGAACAGAGAGAAATGATAAGTTGTTTTTTTTAATACTAAGGTTTGTACCCAGCTTAACCTAATGACTTGAGTAAGATCTTAGTATCCTGAGTGTGTGTGTCATGTTAACAAACAACATCACATTTAAGTCCCAAAGATCTGCCTTACTTCAGGGTTGTACAAAAGCTGTTCTTTTGATATCAAATAAGACGGATTCCATTAAAGTATGCAAATGTGCATATTACACCATATGTTTTCCTTCTCCTACAATGCAGATTCTGTGTTTTAGAACATTTCTGATGCATATTTAATAATTGCACCAGTGCATTTGGCCGCACAGCATGTGGAGGAGTGAGCAGCATGATAAAAGAGCATTGGGAAAATCATCTGTTCCTAATGTGCCTCTGTATAAAAATAAAGTTTACCCCTACCCTTAAATCTACGGTTTTGCTTTGTTTCACAAAATAAAAATGCTTGATTAAAGGAAGTTTAAAATAAAACCTTTGGGAACTTCTTACTTTTGGTCATGTCTACCCTGGACACACAAACATATCCCCTTTGAAGTAATCCCATATGATATATTGATCTCTTTGATCCTTACAATATATAGTAAGCATTTTTTGTGCACATTCAGTAGTTACAAAAACCTACATGCAAATTGAGGATTAAAAGCTCATAAAACCCGTGATTTGTCAGTGAAGAACAATTCTAAACAGATTTTAAGTCTTGCAAACAGATGATGACAGAAAAATAGAATGAATACAAAAATAAGTTAAAACTGTAGGAAAATAAACATTTAGAATTTGAATTTGTGTCCAGAAACAAAATAATAGTGGAGAAAGATTGCAGGGATGGGCAATACTGCCTCAAATGTTAAACACGGTACGTTGAGATATTTTCTACAACAGTGAAAAGGTGATACATAAAAATCCACTGCAGTGTTTTTTGTCTACATTTTGATTTAAAAAAATAAATAAAATAATGGATATAAAAAAAAATATTTATGGGACGGTATTAAGATGAATCTATAACAAATTTTAAAATGTTAATCTCTAAAAAGCTGTTTTATTCCATTTAAAATGCTTAAATACAAGCAAAGCTTTGAAGAAGTGCAATCCCCCCAAAAAACTACTATCAAATAAATAAAAGTATAAACTATAGTTGGCTTAATGTCTGACTCACTCATCTCTATTTCATAAAGGAACTGACTGCTGAGCAAAATGCTTCACTGATCTATCAAACTCAGCAACACGTACAATCATTTCTAATGGAAATTAAGGCATCAGTACTCAATAAAATCATAAATGAGAGCACAGCAGGCAAAACTCTTCTATACACATATGTATATAAAGACTACAAGGTGTTTTTAGTGTTACCTCTGCCAAGGAAG